CCTGTTTTTCTCTGAAAGACACAGAGGCTCATAAGAAAGCAGTCTTCTTTTCCCTCCTCACACTGACAGAGCAGCCTCTTCCCCACAAACGTGTGGTTTTAACAACCATGAAGGGGACAGGCTGGGGATTAAAAAGATAACCTGGAAGAACACACTTCGTCTTATGCATGGCTCCCAATGTTACTATTAGCTCCATTTTACAGATGCAAAGACTGAAGCTGAGCTATTCATAAGGTTGTAGTGAAGCCCAGACTTAACACCAGCGATTCCAGATTCCAAACCCCATTGGATATCCATAGCCTATTTTGTCACTCAGGTACACTGAACTAGGACGCTCCTAAAGGCAGTGTCAGGATCTAAAGGAACATTAGACACTAGGACCCTGGCACTCCAGAGGAGTCTGGGAGCAGGTGCTCAAGTGTGGTCATTCTATAGGATCCTCAATTCCTGCTGTGAGGTGACTGCACAGATAGGGCAGACTTCTAATCCTTTAAAACCCTAGGCACCCTCACCTCTATATCTCAATCCTTCCTCACACCATTCTCCAATAGCTCATGATTCTCTGAGTTGGCTCGGACTACAAGATCAATGCCACATTTAACCTTCCCATCGCCCTCCTGACAAAATACGATTGCATTTAAGGAGCTACAGCTCCTGAGCTGTTGCCTGGCCGTTGTATTAGTGGAAAGTCAAAGCTTAGGAAGATGTTTTCTTTTGTTTTTCAAATTGCTGATGGCATTCAAGGAGGTGCTAATATCTTTTTACTGTTCCACTGCTGGGAAAGTCTTTGTCCAGAGAAGAAAGGATTCTACAATAGACTTTCTTAATTAAATATTGCCTGGTGCCAGATTACCACTCAGAAGGCAGCAGTAGGTTCCATTAAAGGATGAACTTTACTCCCACAGCTGACAGCTGATTAATGTGTTAATTAGAAACCCTTCCCCTCCTCCCCGCCCCCCCCCACCACCAGTTACCCGAATCTTCTCTTAAGCCAAGGCAGAATGTATATACGTATTGTGTCCATGTGGGTAACCTCATGGCATACTTTGGCTTTGACTTCGGACGTTTTTATAAAAATGAAGGTTCAGTTGCCAGTATGAATAGCTTGCTTTCTTTCCAGGGGAAATACAAGATGGAAAGAGTTATAGGAACCAGAAGTCCTGCCTTTGAGTTTGCTGGTATCAAGACGAGTGATATTTCTGCTGAGGCAGTGGCTTTTGAGCAGCTTAGTGGTGTAGGTTGCCACACATTTATTTCACAGGAAAGGAGTGAATCCATCAGGCCACTGAGCTTATAAGTACTACTCTGGCAGCCAGCCACTAAAATATAAATACTCTAAATGGACTAAAGGAAATGTTCATCCTGTTGTTTAAAATTGGACACATCCCAGGAAGGTAAATTTAATCTTTTTGGAGGACCACTGTTTTAGGGTTGAATGGAGCACACATTTGTTTATCTCCTCTGTGATCTTTTTGTCTTCTTGGCGATACATTATGTATTTGTGATACGAAGCATTTCAGCTGTCCTGCTCAGTGGCATTGCATTGGCTGATTGCTTGGGCTCCAGATTGGCATCGTTAAACAACAGCAGCCTCTGTCCAATCTGGGACCTGTTAGGGAGAGGAGGGGAACCAAAAAAGGCCAGATTCCAACAGAAACAAAACATTGCAGGGACCAGGAAGCTAAGCTCTGTACTCCATCTTTGCTTTTGAAAATATCTAGAGGAAATTTGGTGTTTCTTGCCATAATAAGAGGGGGGAGGGGAAGATGCCTCTGAAAGTGAAAATTAAATAAATAAATAAAATGTAAAGCTAACAGTAGAAAAAGAGACACCCCCCCCCATACTACAATCTAGAAAACCACCATTATGCAAGTGTTGTTTTATTAAAGAAAGAGATGGAGATAGTGTATGTTTTTGCCCAATTATCACATCTTAAGTAATCAACTCAGGCTCTTATGATGAAATCTTTAATTATAAGAAGTGTGTCATTAGTTAGATGGAGAATGAATGATGATACTGTGTTTTATTGCCTCACATGATATAGCCATTTGTGCCATAAATTCATTGACCTCATCTTAAATGATGAGTACTGTATGACAGACTTGATTCATTATTTCTTAAGCAACAGTTTTTTCCCCCTTCTAATAAGTTTTTGCTTCATCAGGAAGATTGCTTGGCTGTATTTTCAGGCCATCTTGTGAACTGAAATGCAATAAGATGAGGTGGTATGCTACCATGTCATTTGGGGTGCTACAGAAAATCAAGTACCAACATTAGGCTTTTGCGTTAATAGGAAAATAGAGGTTTATTTTAACTTTAACACCTGCTATTCTTTTACGTGGAAATAGATAGTATTTGCTGAAGAATTCTCATTTCATAATTGGGATAGATCTATGAGCATTCCTTATCTGCCAATAAATTATTGAAAATGAAGGGAAGGAAGGGAGAATGTTTAAGTTATATTTACATTATTATTATTTTCACTCCACATGAAAATATTTATTTAGCTTCAGGAAATAGGAATCCTCTGGAGGCAAAAATATTCAATTTGGCAATTTAAAAGCCAATTAATGATCTCAGAAAACTCTTCCCCCTTATGGTTGAAGAATAAGATCCAAAAGAAATATGCCAGAAAATTTGGCATCTTATTTTAATTAGTTTATTGATGATTTTTTCTAATCTATGAGTAAAGCAGATATATTTTATCCCTTACTTTAAGCTTGGATATTTATATGTTAGCCTTTCTACAGATACCTAATATTGAAATAAAAGTATGTGGTTTTATTTCACAATGGAATTCAAATGCCACATCATTACTGTTAACTTTAATAAAATAGCACACTACTAGTTTACTTCACCTAGATGAGAAATTTAAGGTGTGATAGACCACATAGGCAATTCAGAAGGAACTCAAAAGAGTGTAGTGAACAATAGGCAGATATGAGCATTGAACCTATTCACTTTTTGGTGTGTATATGTTCATCCTGGGGCTTGAACTCAGGGTTTGGACCCAGTTTCTGACCTTTCATACTCAAGTCTAGCACTCTACCACTTGAGCCATACCTCAACTTCCAGCTATTTTTGGTAGTTAATTGGGGATAAGACTTTCCTTCTGGGCTGGTTTTGAACCATGAATCCTCAGATCTTAGCCTCCAGAGTAGCTAGGATGACAGGTGTGAGGCACAGGTGCATGGCTTCATCAATTTGTTTCACCACATTAGCGACTGCAACAGCATTGATAACTAAGTTGAAAGAATAATTTTCTAATCATCACTCTCCTCAAAGCTTTTAAGAAGTATTTTGAAAGGGCAACTTTGTACGAGACCAAACAGAAAACTAATGGGTGTCAGTAAGTACATCTTATTAAATCTCACATTGTGAAGTTTATTACCTGTAAATATCAGTTAGAATTTTTTTAAGTGAGAAAAAGTTTACACAGAGACCCACATCTGCCATGAGAATATTGGCCCACATTCCCAAACTAGAACGCCACCCTGTTTACAGTCAAGGAAAGCTGAGAGTTAAATGAGATGAGTAATCAAATGCCCAGCATATGTTGTTTTTATGTTGTTTATATGACCAATCATTATTAAAATTTATCATCTTTTAATTATACCACTTTATGATAGTTAAACACACACAACAACAACACCAACACCACCAACAGAACAGACATTCTCTTTAAAAATGGGGTCCCATTTAGAACAATATTGGAACCACTGATTTACTGGGAAAGAAATGGAGTTTTAGAAATTCATGATTGCACTGTATTTCTCAATTCTTCCTCTAGTGGTATATGATTTGAATACTAAGAAAATGACAAAAATAAAAAAGAAAAAGCAAAAAACATTGTGTGTGTAAAATTCTGTCAAAAGAAGACACTGAAAGAGCTATTGAAAATTTTGACATCTGTTTATCTGTTTATAGCGATGGCAAGATTACTCATATTAATTCTTGTTTAAAATGCCATATGAAGGAAAGACATTTGTGCAAACAAGAGTCATATTTGAATTGTAGATCATGTCTTCACCATCTGTGAGAGCTGATGGTGTTGCAAAATTAATGTGTTAATGAAATCACAATAATTTCTCCAAAGTAATGGGTTCTGAAACCGAGAATGACTATTTTTTGAACTTTGATGTCTAGTGATTTCCAATTGGGAAAAGCTCTCAGTCTTTAATTAGTTCTGCAGCCCAACTTTAAAGTAAATTTGGTGATGTCTTTCTTTTGCCAGCAATAGATATGAAGAAGGGAGAAAAAAACCATAACAACTTTTGGAAAATGTTCTCTGGTGTTTGAAAAGTTGTTAAATAAGACTGCCTGCCAAGAAATGTCACCAAAAATTCTGACTACTGAGAAAGAGTGGGCAAACAGCTCAAAAAATAATTCTAGTTTGCTGCAACATCACAGGTTGGAATAGCTAAACCTCACACAGACTTCATGACCAAATCCAAGTTTCTCCTTGGAAGCCAGACATAATGGTGTTCAGTGCTCTGTGTTATTGGTTAACACAGCACACCCCTTCCAACTGCATTATTGGACACAGCAGTGTGGAGGGATTTTGCCTGAGGAGAATTTTAAGGGGTTATGTGCCATGCCCATTGAACTTTCTGGAGAAACCGTTCCTCCCAAACTGTTCAGATTTGTGTTTACAGTGAGCCTCTAACTGTGGGGGCAGGAATTTGCACTACTATATACACTCCTTTTGTTTTTGTTTTTCTTTTAAATCAGAGCTCTCTTTAAGGCATGTTTTAAAAGGAACAATTCAATTTCTTGAAAAAAGAGATTGTGATGATTGCAATTCTGAAGTTAGTATTTATAAAGCCCGTCATTTCACAGACATCTCAGACTTTTACCTTTCAGAAGGAAACACTTCAGCCTATTTGAGAAATTATGATAAAGTGTGAACCAACATTGATGTGAAACCTGAAACTCCCATCTACCCAGGGAAATCGCTTATCTCACCTGTTGTGTTTTTTTTTTAATTGCTTGTGTTGTAGGTATGTGACTGGTGTAAGCACATAAGACACACAAAAGAATACCTGGATTTTGGGGACGGGGAAAGAAGGCTTCAGTTCTGCAGTGCAAAATGTCTCAACCAATACAAAATGGACATTTTCTACAAAGAGACACAGGCCAATCTTCCAGCTGGGCTGTGCAGCACATTACACCCGCCCATGGAAAATAAAGCAGAAGGCACCGGGGTGCAGCTGCTCACTCCAGACTCTTGGAATATCCCGCTAACTGATGCTCGGAGGAAGGCTCCCTCCCCGGTGGCTGCCGCTGTCCAAAGCCAAGGCCCTGGCCCATCCACGTCCACCACCGTCTCTCCATCTGACACAGCCAACTGCTCTGTCACTAAAATCCCCACGCCGGTGCCCAAGTCTATCCCCATCAGCGAGACTCCGAACCTCCCTCCTGTCTCTGTGCAGCCGCCTGCTAGCATCGGACCTCCCCTGGGCGTCCCTCCTCGCAGCCCTCCTATGGTGATGACCAACCGCGGCCCGGTGCCGCTGCCCATCTTCATGGAGCAGCAGATCATGCAGCAGATCCGCCCGCCCTTCATCCGCGGGCCACCGCACCACGCCTCCAACCCCAACAGCCCACTGTCCAACCCCATGCTTCCTGGCATTGGGCCCCCACCCGGCGGCCCCAGGAACCTGGGCCCCACTTCCAGTCCTATGCACCGACCCATGCTATCGCCCCACATCCACCCCCCAAGCACGCCCACCATGCCTGGGAACCCTCCGGGCCTGCTGCCCCCGCCGCCCCCGGGCGCCCCCTTGCCGAGTCTTCCCTTCCCGCCGGTAAGCATGATGCCAAATGGCCCGATGCCCGTGCCCCAGATGATGAATTTCGGGCTGCCGTCGCTCGCGCCCCTGGTGCCGCCCCCCACCCTGCTCGTGCCGTACCCGGTGATCGTGCCCCTGCCCGTGCCCATCCCCATCCCCATCCCCATCCCCCACGTCAATGATTCCAAGCCCCCCAACGGATTCTCCAGCAACGGGGAGAGCTTCATTCCGAGCGCCCCGGGCGACTCCTCTGCGGCCGGAGGCAAGCCCGGAGGACGCTCCTTGTCCCCCCGGGACTCCAAGCAGGGCTCGTCCAAGTCCTCGGACTCGCCGCCCGGCTGCTCGGGCCAGGCCCTGAGCCTGGCGCCCGCGGAGCCCGGCCGGAGCGAGGTGGTGGACCTGACCCGGCGTGGAGGCAGCCCCCCGGGCGCGGGCGGCCAGCCCGGCTTCCCGGGCGTGCTGCAGGGCCCACAGGACGGGGTCATCGACCTGACGGTGGGCCACCGGGCCCGGCTGCACAACGTGATCCACCGCGCGCTGCACGCGCACGTCAAGGCGGAGCGCGAGCCGGGCGCGGCGGAGCGCAGGACCTGCGGCGGCTGCAGGGACGGCCACTGCAGCCCGCCCGCCGCCGGCGACCCGGGCCCGGGCGCTCCCGCGGGCCCCGAGGCCGCCGCGGCCTGCAACGTCATCGTGAACGGCACGCGCAGCGCCGCGGCCGAGGGCGCCAAGGGCGCGGAGCCGCCGCCCGAGCAGCCGCCGCCGCCCCCGCCGCCGCCGCCCGGGCCGCCCAGGAAGCTGCTGTCGCCCGAGGAGCCGGCCGTGAGCGAGCTGGAGTCGGTCAAGGAGAACAACTGTGCGTCCAACTGCCACCTGGACGGGGAGGCGGCCAAGAAGCTGATCGGGGAGGAGGCCCTGGCGGGGGGCGACAAATCGGACCCGAACCTGAATAACCCCGCGGACGAGGACCACGCCTACGCCCTGCGCATGCTGCCCAAGACCGGCTGCGTGATCCAGCCAGTGCCAAAACCCGCGGAGAAGACTGGCCTGGCGCCGTGCATCATCTCCTCGCCCATGCTCAGCACCGGGCCCGAGGACCTGGAGCCGCCGCTCAAAAGGAGGTGCCTCCGAATTAGAAATCAGAATAAGTAAAAGGTTTGTATGTCCGCCGGGGCACTGCTCCCGCCGGGGCACCTTGCCTTGCTTCTTTCCAGGCAGAGATGTGTGAATACGAGATCCCAGAGTGGTGTGAATACGATTTGAAAACACAAAAACACCCTTATGTGTTTTACCGTACACTTGTGTGACCATCCACGTTCACGTTTTTTTTTTTTTTTTTACAGCTCATTAAGAGCTCACCTGAAGACAAAGCTCCTGGACGCCTGAACCTTAATTGAAACGTTTTGTCTTCCATGCCTCTTATTTTATGATTAGGGTCACATCTCTGTGATTGACCCTGCTGGGGAGTAGGAGGATGTGGGAAGGAAGGCGAGGTCATTTGGGAAATCTAGCCGTTCAGTCGTGAGGTTACCAGGCAGTGGAGGAAGGCCCAGGGGATCCATGCGCTGGAGCCCGCCTGCAGCGGGTAGCCTTATTGACAAGACTGTCCTAACTTGCCAAATTTTATTGATAACCATCAGATGCCAACTGAACCCAGGTCACAAAGCCACTGTAGCCTGGCAAGGTGCTACAGCCATCTTTGGCGCTTAGCTCATGAGCGCAGTGTCTCTTCTGTCAGCTCTGCTCTAAACCGTAGGCAGGCTCCAGGCTTCACTGGCCATCTTTGCCTTCTCCCCTTTGGGGGGTGGGGCTGGGGGGACTCGGGGGACTCAACTGCTGCGATGCTCACTGCAAACACGTGGAAACTGAAGGAGAGAAGCAGTTAAGAGAGTGCACCTGAAAAGGGCGGGGGGGGGGGGGGAATCCAACTATTGGGAGTGAGTCAGAAGCTTCAGCATTGGTGGGGGGAGGGATAGGGGGCAATGGGAAACGCGAGTGTATGCCTCTGTAGCCAGATGTGGCTTCATTTGCCCTCTCTTGCCAACCATATGGAACAGGCATGGGAACACATATTACCAAGGAGAAAGATGTATCTTAGAGATTTTGCCCAGGTCAGAGTTGACAAATAGGGGAACCTGTGTTCAGTACTGGGTCCCCGAGAGTGAACTCTCTTCTACCCAAGTGGGCAAGTGAACAGCCAAAATTCAGTTGTTTGTCAATTGTAGATGGAGAAGAAGAGGAGAAATGAGCATTTAGTTAGCATTTAACTTGTACTCTGCTCCTTCCAGGGTGGGAGCAAAGGAGAATTAGGGTGGTGCGGGCTGCCCTCAAGACCGGGAGGAAGGAAGGCTGGGGGAAATGAGGTAGGGCGAGTCATTGCTCATGTGTGTGTGTGCAGGCTCTGGTTTTTAGTAGTATTTGAAGCTGGATTCATAAAACAGTTTTCTTCATTCCACTGATTAAGAAGAAACAAATTACATAACCTTTCAGATTACCAGGTTAGGAAGCAGAGTTGTGATTCAAATCCAGGTGGTCTAACTCCAGTTGCGTTTTCTTTAAATTACTGAAGGAGAATACATGGATCGATTCCTTGGTTACTTTAATTACTGAAATGCTTTTATCCAATTCACTTGCTTTGGGAGAAAGTTCTTGAAACACAGAAAACACAGCTGAATTGAACCCTTACCACCGATTTCCCCAATTCTTCACTTTTTAATTCTTTTTTTGTTGTTGTTTTGTTTTTACTGACAGCAGCACACCACTAATGCACTAAGCCATTGCTTTCTGGGGGTCGAACATAAAAGCCAGGAGCTGTGTGGAGGGGCCAGCACTTGTCTTTAAGTAGATGCATTTACATGGATACCTAATTTCAGCCCCAGATGTTTGAGGGGGATATGTGAGTGGTGCAAGGAGAGTTTGTCAGAACCATTGTTGGAGGTTTTCTTTTCCACTGATATTGGTCAGTGAGGGCAGCATACTAAACCATGAGTTCACCATCCTTCTTGATTTCATGTTGGTAAGTTCTGCTGACTGAACACGGATGGCCTTAGTCTCCTCACACTCACTTCCGTTGAAAATGCCCCTGATTTGTTCACACAGGTAATTTAATCTGGTTGACAAAGCTTTGAGTAATGAGAAGGTATGTGACCAAAAAAAGTGACCACCTTGTGCAAGTGAGAAAGGATAGGGAATTGTCATTCAAAACACATCCTAGCATCTCATTCAAATAGTGTTAAAGGAAAAATGGAAGGGTGAAAGATTTTACTACCACGGTTGGAGTAGTCATGGCAGCCTAGAAGTAGCATGGGAACGTAAGATTACAAAAGCCTAAGATACAAGATGGCCCCTTAGATGGTCTGTTTCTGAATAAATAATCAGGTAAGGGTCTCATACATGGGCCAGCATCATCACTAAAACTATTAACTTGGCTTCAGCCAACTTTAGAAGATGCCACGACAAAATTGGCTGATTTCTCTTGAGACTGGAGAGCTCTTGTTAGGATAGGTCCCCCAGGAAATTACAGTTTCTCTCTAAAGTCAGAAATACTCAGGCTCTACTGGCTACAGAGAGGTGACAGGGCAAGAGATTTAAGAGTGGAGAAGAACCATCTCTTCCCCAGTACATCACACCCCTTCTTGCCCTCAGTAGTTCCGTGTCAGCTCACAGCACAGCTCAGCCTGCCATAATTCATTCACACCCTGACCCTTCCTGATTCCAGAGCTACATTTACTCTTCTGGGCATATGTGGTGCTATTTTTCTTCTAGACCTTCAGAAACCCAGGCATTCATATAGCTGGGGAAAGCAGAAAGCATCCACTAAATAAGGATTGCATTACCTTTGTGCTTTGCTTTAATGGTAAACATTCTTTGGTGGCAAGTAAAAGGAGGCTGAGATGTGGTAGTAAGGTGCCGTTGAGCCATTTCTTGTGTGCTTTCTGGTGATTCATTGTAGGATTTCTCATAGGTGAGTCTTCATATTGGTCAGTATTTGTCATTCTTCTCCCCATGTGTACCTTTTTCATACTGTATGATAATTATTTAAAAAGGAAAAATTTAAAATAGATCCAAAACTGATTGAAATTAGCCACCCCTAGCTACAGCTGCCTTCGCAGAAGTCGTTGTATTTGTTAGATTTTTGCAAATTCTAAGCCCTTTCTTCCATTTTATGAAGTTCCTGGATACCTGACCTTATTCATTCTTGTTTGTTGATATGACTACAAATGTTTTCAATGGGTAGATGTTTCACCCAGATTCAGAGCTAATGAAGTTTAGTTAATTTTCAAAGTTTATAAATTTCCCTTTAATCTTTAACTTTTAAGATTTAAAATACCAATTCTGCAGCTTCTGTTACTAGAAAAAATCCAAATAATAAGAAAAGCAATGTATAAACATTTCCTAAACTATGGTATCCACAAAGAATTCTACTTATAAATGAAATATTCCCTTCTTTGTCTTTGCTTGGGAGATTGAGGGATAACTGTTTGTATTTGTACATTTTCTGAATTTCTGTAGGTTATACTTGTTTATGGTACATTGGGAAGTTTAGAGAAAACATTTGCAAATGTTTGAAGATAATCAACAGACAATACTCCCCCTTCTCAATTTTCCGGGAAATAATATGTTCTCTCTCAGTTAAATCATCAATGGAAAAAAATGTATGCTAGAGTAACTCTTTCACCCCCAACCTTTTGGGACTATACAACTTCCCACTTTTGTGGCTCCCTAATTTCTTGTATTTCTAGAACCATAGAAACATACATAAAAAGATGCTCCTCTGGCCTTAGTGGTAGATTCAACTTTACGTTTTTAGAGGAAACTGGAGGAGCCAACTGTAATTTTTGGCTTCTTGGAGTTTAGTGTAGTCCTGGATTCACAGTCCTTTCAACAACTGTGTCAAGGTAAAGGATTTGCTTCATTGAGGCCCAAAGGATGGAGGTGACAAGTTAACTTTTTTGCCAATTTAGTTTCTAAGTTGAGAAGCCCAAGAGACCAGACTGACTAGGAGAAGATTGGAAACAAAATCTATACATTCAAAAACAACGCTGATGGATGCCTGTTTTTAAAGCAAGAAAAACAGTACCAAGAGGGAATCAGCACACATGGGATGTACTCAGCTCCTAGGCCAGATTTGAGTTAATTATTGTTCCTATATTTGATGATTAGAAGTGTTCACCAGTGGCAGTCCCTAAGTTAAAGATTAGCCTGTCTCTACCAGGATGCAGACAAAAGTACTTCAAAGAACCACTGGGAATCCACCAGATTGGTGGCATGCACACTTGTGAGTGGGGTGTGCCCAGGATAGAGCTGGCTGTGATCTCTTGTAGAAGATAGACCTAACCGGTTCATATCCAGTGAGCTGCTGGGTCTATATCCACTGATGCAAGTTTGCATGTGAAAGCATATGACTTATAGTTATATCACTAAAAATGTGGTAGAATATGAAATGATACATGTGGCCAGGTATTTTTTACTTTCAGACATAGCCATAACCTTCTAAAATTTCAGCTGGGCTGGGACTCTGATAAAGTAGAAGAAACATTCTGTGCACATACTTGCAAGACAGACCCATCAGGCTCCAGCAGGCACAATGCTGGTCTTGCTATAAGCTCCAGACCTTCTAGGGCATCTCCTCAAAGCTGGTCTCCATGGATAGCTTTCAGCAACTGCCTCTCAGGTTTCATGGAAAGTTTGGTGTGCTTTAGATATGCAAGCATTTTCTTGAGAAGAAGTTTTGGCTTCAAAGAAAGTAGACTCTGCATCTCTAAAAGATTATCTTACATTTTTAATGAGCAATATCTCAGTTGGCATTATTCCTTGTTCTTCTGAGAAAGCTGAATTACTTGTAAATTTCTCTTGAAGTCGCTATTTATTTTTGGCAATTTCCCCTCACACACACAGTTGTAGGGTTCAAACCCAAAGCCTTGAGCATGCTGGGCAAGTGCTCTACCACTGAACTATATCTCAGTCCTATTTTTCTTTTTGCAGGGAGGGGAGGTTCTTGCTGTTTATCTAATATTGCAAAACCACCACTGCAGCTATATATGCCTTAGGGACACAGTGCAAAAAATTCAAATTACCAAGTCTAGCAAGGGCATATGGTGACAAAGAAAAATGAAGCAAAAAAAACAATCATTTTTCCTAGCATCAAAGTTTGT